CAGTCACGTAAGAGTGCTTAAGGACATACACAGAACAGAACCCAACTCTCAGGAATCCCCGCTGTTATTAACAGGATTAAAAGGAACCTGTTAGTCACAGAGCAATATTTTCATTCGAGATATACTGCAGGAAGTTTGCTGTCTTCTTCTGAAGGTTAATCCCAGCCTCCAACAGCACTTTTGCTCTTCTGGTTTTCAGCCATCCACCAATGCTGGATCTGCAGAATTTCCAGACAGAAGAACCCCATCCAGTCCCTGAGCAGGGACTGACAGTTTCTCACTGACACTGTCTCATGCAGGCAGTTATCCTTTATGCATTTAGACCAGATCCATCACAATAATTCCTCCTAGAGGTCTGAATTCAGTGTATCACATACAATAGCTCCCTGGGAGGAGAAAAATTGGCACTTACCTGCCTTTAAGTGAGTCCTTTCTCAGTTGCCTGTAACATCTGTGCACTGTGAGATGTGATGGTTTTGGGGGCTGTGTATCTCTGGAGTTGTTCTAGCAGCGCTGAGTACAGGATTGGAGCTTAAACACTCCTAAATTTGCAACCCCCTCTAGCATCAGTCAATGAGCAAATGTGTCTCAGGAAGCACAAATCAAACCTGCAGCCACTCTCACTACACTGAGGGGAATGAACCAGGCACTACCAAGCTGTGCTGTGCACAGCAGCTCCTATGATCCCCAAAAATTGCTGGGAACTGATGCAGCAAAATGAAAAGCCTGATTCCACTTTAAATCCTGCCTATTGGCACCAAGAGCTGAATCCCTGCTGGACCGGATCCTGGACATAAGCAGAGCATCAGCTGGGAAGACCTTGAGTGCCTTCTCTGTTGTATCACCCGCTGCAATACTCTCGATTGCCTCCTCAAAACAGACTGTGTATATCCCTGCCCCCACCTCAATTATCTTAATAAACGGCCTGGACACACCTCTCACTCACTTAAGATAATGACGGGCCACGATTAGCTCCTTCAGACTTCCTGGCAGTTCACTGAGCCTAATGTGACTCCAGTCTGGCTGTTTCTGCCTTCTCAGGAAAAGGCTGACCTCTGGCAGCAGCCCTCTGCCATCTGCAGGTGGAGACCCATGCACAGATCAAAGGCTGCTCCCAAAAACCAGGCTAGAGCCGTGAAGGCTCCCCTGCTCTTAAAACAAGCTTGTGACTATTCCAATTGCCATAGCGAGTGATAAGTTTCTCTGCCAGCAAACAGACCTGGTGGGTTGGTACCCGTCCCAAGATATGAAATAGAAACACAGGGCTAAGGACAACCCCAAATACAGGATTACAGAAGAGCACCTCTGCACGTTACCTTCCTGGCTGCCTCTCAAACATTCACTTACTCAACCTGTGAGCAAAAGTGTCACCAGTCAGCCTGTCTCATAACATGAATATCTGAAGCAAAACCTTGGAGGAAAAAGGGCAAACAGTCTGAAATCATAAGCAAACCCTTACAAGAAGCCATCTTATCTGCAGAAATCAGGAACAGGTCACAAATGACTCAGTAGCAGCAGTGCAAATCATTTAACCAGTGCTTGGAACAAATCCCTATGCTTTGTAAAGAGCAACCCAAATTTATTCCTGCTGATTAGTCAGCAGTTACACTCACAAACTCAAAATTAATACTACAGTTCATGTGCACTTTGCTTCACTGCTGGAGACCATCATTTTCTCTTAGCTAAGAAATCATCTTGCATCTATTTACCAGCACAGGAAGTTGGTTTTGGGATTTATCCCAATTCTTAACTTGACAAACTCAAAGACGTTACTCCACCTCGAAACCCTGTTTTGAAAAACCCCAGTTAGCATTGCTTTTTGTTTCTTTACTGATTTCAATAGGAGCAGGCACTTACCAATTCTCTGGAAGCCAGTTACCAAATCCCAACAAGGAAGATGGACAAACAACTCCCAAAACTGCTGTGGTCCATCCAAGGAGGTGAAAATCAGAACTGAATACTGACATCAAGAACTGAAGCAACCAAACTGAGCTCCCAGCAGAAGCAGAAGCAGTATATTTGCAATCCTGTGCCCAAGATGTGTATTTCCCATTTGTCAGCATACAGGGCTAACGAGTAAGAGCGCACCAAAGAGGGTAACACACATCACTCACCTTCTTGGTGCTGCTTTGTAGGAATTGCACTTTTAGAAACATGAAAGAATCCACATTGGACAAATGAACTTTTTTTTTTAACCACTGGATTTCCTCTGTTGTTTTCTGGGGATCATGGGTTGAATTTACGTGATTCCCCACTGTATGGACATGGGGCAGGATGTCCTATGGCCTGCCATACATCCCTGCAGTGCAAGAAGCTCAGGCTGCTGGAGACATGAGGCTGGCAGCCAATGCTTTGATGCAGAGTCTGGCCACACCAGGCCAGAGGTTGACACCACCAAGGAGCCTGTTTGTCAGGAGAGGGTGGAAGGACATCAGGGAAACCAAGGAAAAAACAAAAAGGCAAAGCAAATGACAGGAGAGGAAGATACAATGCTGCACCAGATAAAACACCTTTTCCAGTTGTGTCTTCCATCACATTTTTCCCCCTTCAAAGGGGAGGTGTTTATTTTCCCACAGCTTCTTAACTTTTTCTGCCAAAAGATCAGGGCCTGGAGGCACTGGTAAATACACAGTTAATAAGGACTCTTCAGCTTATTGCCTAAACCCCACCAGAAGCACTTCCAAATGTTAAACAAAAATAAAGTCACACAATATTGATTTCTTGCGTTGCTCTCTTCCCACTGCTCATCCAGACCTGTGTTTTTTGGCTTTACTACTGTGTCTAGGCTTCCTTATCCTCTGCTAATGCCCAGGCTTAACCCTGAGGATCTGCAGCTTGCTCCAGTTGCAGATCAGAGCAGAATGGTGATGCACTGCTGAAATGGCAGAAGCGCTTTCTTCCAACTGTCCAACTGTCTCCTGGGACCTCTGTCCTGCTGTGCTCCCCTCCCACGACCCAGCATGGCACAGACAAATGCTGGGAAAGCTAAAGACCTCGTGCTGGTGAGGTAGACCACCTTTAAAGGGGGTTTCAGACTCTTAGGAAGGAAGGGCTGGCTCCATAAACACACATTTAAGTAAATAAAAGAGCAGCAAAGAGCATCAAGAAACATCCTGCGCAGCTGGAATGAGCAGCTATGGAGACTCACAACACACAGCAGGACCAAAATACCTTGGTAAAAACCTTCATTATGACACATACCAAACACTCGTCTGCAGCAAATCCAAGCCCAAAGCACACTGCCTCCTTTGTGCAGAGTATTATTGTGCCAGAATTGTCCTGTGCTCACCACACTCAGTTCAGGTATAAAGTCATAACTCCATATCATTAGAGGAACACAAAGAAGCAACACATCATTTCTCTGCCTGATTACCTGCAGCTTCCACACTGTTCAAGGGCTGGGAAGGCAGGGCTGTCATTTACAGGAGGAGCTGATATACACCACTGCCTGCATCCTACCAAACCAGCACCCAAACTCATTCAGTAATAAGCACTGTAAATAGTTTAGGAGCCACAATGTAGAAAGGGAGAGCAGAACAGCAACATCAACTCATGGCCCTGCTACCTCAAAGAACGTGAGTACATCAGGTAACAGAGACGACCAAGAAGCAAAAACAAAGAGAAAGAAGTGTCCAATCCCTCCATAATACATGTAGAGCCCTGGAGCATAGTTATGCTAGCTCCTTGGGAACTGGTAGCAATAAAAACACCATGGGAACTCATACACAAGGAATCAGTTGCCCTGAAATACAAAGCAAGTTGGACTAAGGCTGACCACATCAGCAGGCCAACTAGTTAGCTAATCAAGCCTTTGTGCACAATGCTGCCGAGCTGCGAAACCAGATAATAGACCCTGGAGTGGTTGGGAGGATATTGCAGAGCTTTCATCACCTGTTTGCTTCCCATTGATCAAAAAGGAGCAGGAAACAGGGATGACATCCAATGCAGCTCAGCTGGCCAGCCCATGTTATTTGTCAGGAGACAACCTCTCATCCCAGGCATTGCAGACATCCCTGAAAAGATAAAGATCTCAGCCATCACCAATCCTGTGAACAACAACGCCCAGTCACTTCTAGAGACATTCTTTAGAAGGCGAAGGCAAGCAGAAATTCACTCACAGTGTCATTTTGAAACATTTGCTTGAAATTAATGCCAGGAAGTTACAGCAACAGAAAGATGCTGGAACACTTTAGCTTTCTCATCAAAATTCTCACCAGTTTTTCCATGAGTGTTCCAGCACCATCCAACCAACTCAGCTCAAACATGCCCCCAGCCTCATGCCCACAGTTACTTGCAGGCTGGCGCAGAAGCTTTAAATCACATAAATAACTTATCCTGTTAACAACACTAAGACACAGCCACTAAAGCATATCCTTGAGCCAAGCCATGCAAGCTGCAGAACAGCTCCTCTCTATTGGAGCATCCAACCATCCTTATGTGAACTTCCAAGGAGGAACCACTCGTCTGCCCCTCACTGACTCTACATCACAAGCATCCTTCCTAGGGAGAAACAAGAGGGACACCTGCATAGCCAAGAAGCAACAGCACATCCTGAAATGCACACTGCAGTGACCTTTTAATGCCGAGATCCCTGAGAGATAAGGCTCCTAATAAAACACTTTCCACTGAGTGCAGAAATCTGCACTGGCAAACCCTAACACCATCTCCCAAAAGAACCACCTTCACCTTGAGGATATTACTATTTTGAGCTACAAAAACCAACGTGTTGTCAACTGAGATCAGCAGCAGAGAGACAGGAGCAAGAGCTACACCTGAGCAACGTCCACATCAGAGCCACAAATCCCACCCCCACATCCCCACCCTGAAGATGCAAACAAACCAGACTCCCCACGCATGGGACATCTCACGAAGAAGTGGACTATGGGACGTGTCGTTCTGAATATTTATTTATTTTGTCTTCAAAGAAGAGGCCTGATGCAGCTGTTTCGTTAGAAAATAAAGTGTTTATTAAGAAACTAGACATTGAACACCCCTATAGTCTCTGTGAAAAGGGACCGTCCCATTTCCCATTAGCACAGGATGATAGTTATGGCAAGATAAGAATGCTCGAAGATGGAGGAGTCGCATTGACGGAAAATGAGGTAATGATGTACAATAATTAAAAATAAAATAAAATGTAAAAAATAAAAAAAAAAGAAAAAGAAAAGAAAAACAACAACAACAAAAAAAAAGGAACAACATCCTTAGACTTGCTACTTAAAGCCACCAATCACAAACAGCCATGACTGGCATCTGTTTTGAGCAGTGAGGAACCAGAGACTGTAACTGGTGTTAAACAAATTGAGACATTGATCACAGTGGGGAGAACTGCTTTAAATTATGCTGTAGGGTCCGGAGGATTTCTTCTAAGCAGAGATGGACCTGAGCTGCAAAATTCAACCCTTCCTCTGCTAGGGTGTTCAGATATAGGCTTCTGGTTCAGGCCCACGGATGTGTCTCTACGGCTGATACACACAGTTGAGAGCAGAGTCCCCTGAACAGTGCTACGGAGAGGAGAGAGCTCAGACGGACGAGGCATCCCCCAGTCAGATGGATGACTCCCAGCAGATGGGGAGTTCAGTTTGGACAAAGCACCCAGAGATCTGCTTCGGGAAGGTCCTCCTCACTCCGTGTGCAGAATCGCAATGTCAATAAATGGCCACAGGTCCTCTCTCAGTGCACCACTTGCGTTTCCGGCTTCGGTGCAGGCTGGAAACGTCGTTGGAGTTTGGTCATGGTTTGTGAAGTGGTCCAACCTGAACCGGGCCTCCTCGTCGTAACGCAGATGCCCCCATAAGGCATGTCCGTTAACTTAAAGCAATCTGCCACCGTTTCTCCTGTACTCTTCTATTGCACTTTATCTTTTTACGTGAGCGAACCAGGAAAAGAAGCAAGAGAATGGAATGCTCCCAGGGACACCCCTACGGGAAAGCTGATAATGAAACCTCCTGGCCGTCCCCAGGGTGGTCCATGCATGTCGCCTGTAAAGGCAGGATGAGACAGAACATCCCATTCTGAGGCTTCTCCCCAGTTCTGGTGGACAAGGACTGTGATTCTTTCCAGTGGCAGCAACCCTTCTGGGCTGGTGATATGCTGACATCTCTGGTCATAAGGTCATCTTGGGCCATCGAGAAGGCAAGCAAAGCAGAGTAGCTGGTGAGCAAGCTCCTGGTTCGATACTTCTCTCAGGAAAAGATCTGGTCAAGCCTGTAGCTTTCAGGAGGTTTTGTTATGTTTTTTTGTTTTTCTTTTTTCCTTTTGAGAAAATCTGCTTTGCTTATAGATTTTCACTGATACGTGTGAGCAAATCTGTATTTCCCCATACACGTGACATCTAGAGAGTTGAAGGAAAGCCCTGCAAGTTGCTACAAGGGCAGCTGGCTTCTCTTGAGAACAGGATCAAAGGGTTTATTTTTCCATCTGAGAGGCTTTGGATGAAGTAAGACAAAAGTGGGAAGGGAGAGGGGGAGAGAATACGAATATTGGCCAGAGAACAGGATTGATATTCCTGTTTATGCCACAGAAGAAGCAACAGAATACTTATTTTTCCTCCCCTTGAGTCAGTCTGTCTCAAGCTGATCGTTCTGGGAAATGTGACTGGGTTACAATCAATCTCTACATGGGTAGAAATACAGGATAGAGCTAAATGGGGCTGGAAAAGATCCAGCAACTGCGTGCGTCTGATACGGTTTTCCACTTTGCTTACTGCCCTGGTCCTGGCAAGGACGCGGACCCTCCTGCGCTATGGATTCTCCACCCACGCGGGAAGTCCAGGCACCTCCTCAGATAAAGCTCATCATTCAAGCAGCAGGGAGAGACCAGAGCACGACAACGAAATAGTCAGATCCAACGCGCTGCTCTAACACACACACACAGACAGACAGACAAAAAAAAGCCTCCTAGAATATGTGCACTTCAAAGATAACCACATTCTCTTCCTGTCAGAGAAGTAAGATTTTTCTTTCCGTTTATCATTCCTTCCGACATTAATTTCTGTGCAAGGACTGGGAGCGGGGCTGCCTTTGCTCTTACCAAAAGTCTTCGTTCTGCTTTAGGTTCTTCCAAGCTCCCGCCTCATCGCTTTGGGAGAGCTCCCATCGCGGTGCCACAGTAAGAGGTGATGGCGGCATTCACTGGGTGGTGCGAAGACACAAGCTTACAAGGAAAACTCCAAGCAGGGAGGACATGACTAAAGATGTCAGTTTGGTTGGCTCGGTTGGTTTTGTTTTGTGTTTTATTTTAAAGCAAAAAGTACAATTATTTACTGTGTTATTAGGATGACTCCTCTCAATTGAGTTTAATTTTCTTTATTTGCTCTCATTGCTGCTGTTGTGCCTTGCAGGAATATTTAACGAACACAGCGACCATTGGAGGAAAAGAACAACCCTGTTATCTGGTGACAGAAAACCACAGTTTCAGTTGGCTTTAACGTGTGTACAGGCAGGGCTGTAGAGTCCTATTAGGAGGAGACCTCAATCCATACAGACCACGCTTACTGCTTCCCACCATTTTGAGGGCACAGCCTATAAACTTGACATCAGAACAGGGACTTTTAAGGAGTTTTTAAAAGCCATGACGTCCTTTGCTGAAATAAACACTGACATCCTCAACATAAATGCCTTGGTTAAGAGGTTTGGAATGTCCAGGGAGGCTTATTGGATTCAACATAATTTCTCTGAAACCTAAAGGGGGAAAAAAAACAGAAAAAAGAAAAAAGCAAAATAAAGTAAACGAAAAAATAAAAAAGAGCAAAACTAGAAAAAAAGAGAGAGATATCGACACACATGTAATTATTAAAAAAGAACCAAATGAATAACCAGCAAATGGCTGCAGTTAAATTAAAGCCAAAACACCCTCTCCGGGCAGGGCTGTCTTGCTCTCTCTTTCTACCAAGACCAGGCATTCATTCCTCCTGCTGCATGCAGGCACAAGTGCTCTGAGGATAAGGAACATGCAAGCAGTCTGGATGGAGAACTGGGAACAAACCTCTTCCAGAGGTTTCCACTAATCATGGGTGGAAAAGTCCTGTTTCCTACCTAGTCCATCTTTCTGCTGGGCAGGGATTAAGGAAAATGGAGGAACCTTCCCAGATCTACCCTTCTTTAGCAATTTATTTAGTGTTGCTTAATATTCCTGAGACAAATGCGCCTGAGAAGACCTGGCTCTCATAACCCATAGAATTTCTTAGCCTCTTCTTCCTGGTGTGTGAACCTCTGCTTAATACCTCCTTTTTTTTTTTTTTTTTGTACAAAATCCTGGAAGTTTCCAGGAGAAAAGTCTCATATTCGTCAGCTCAACAGTTTTACCATTACTTTCTCAGACACCTGTTGGTGGTAGAATTTCTACAGCTGAGACCATCCCAGGGGACTGGGATGAGACTGGGCAGGAATTGACGTAATGTCACTGAAGGTCATCCTCAATACAGAGCCACTGCGTTGCCAGGACCAAGACATGCAGGCAGGAGCCTTGGGACTGCTGTAATCTGTCCTAACTTCTTCTGGTCCCACACGATTTTTCCAAGAAAATTAATGGGATGTCTTGGTTACCGAATTGCTCTAGAGACTCTAAAATGTTCCTGTTCCATCTTATGGTCACAGAACATTCAGCAAGTCAGGTCAGTTAACCGACTGGCACCACTAGAGCAGCATGAAGCTGCCTAGATGTGCTGTGAATTGATCTCAAAACTGCCTTCTAATAGGCCAGGAACAGAAAGCCAAACTAAACCAGCCAGCCTTTTTTTTTTTCTCCTATTTTTTTCTATTATTTCTTTTCTGTACAGTCTTATTCCATCTGCTCATCAGACACATACATCTCGTGATGAAACTGAGGATGCAGACAGACAAGAGCTGTTTGTTTCATTTGGTACTGTTTAAAATTGTTTGGGGGAAACTATCTGTTATCCTTAGTGGCCCCGAGGGACTGATCCCCAGGGGAAAATAAGAAAGGCTCAACTTGGGTTCGTGTGTCATAAACAAAATTCATAGGCACATTCCAAGTGCTGAAATATCACTAGTGGTGAGAAAGAGCCTAGCTCAACTCTCAGAGCCAAAGCAGAGTTTAAAGTGCTGATGCTTGGAAAAGTGTATGTAAACTAGTCCATTTCTTATCAGACTCACTGGGAGACAAATAAACATGACATCCCTGAAATTCACTATTTATCCTGTTTTGGTTTTTTTCATCATATAAATATACTTTATGGTCACCAAAGGATAGCTGGGAAAGTCTATACTCAACAATACTGAGTATCTCAAAGGAGCATTCCTGTCTGCTTTATTTTCTTTGCATTTCTCAGCTCTGCTAAATTAAGGCAATTCCACTTCTGCTGGACCATGTGCAAAAGACCTAAAAGCCCATTGGGGACAAACAGCCTCTGCAAAGGGACATGTGAAAGATCAGCAAGACTTGAGGCTGGGAATGCCGAGGGCTTTCCTCTTTGTCAGCACTGTGCTGCGAATCCCAGCTGCAGGGACCTTCGTTGACAGCAAGGTCTTTGTAGAATGGGACTGGAGTGGGGTTCACCCCATAAGTGACACGCAGCCGCTAGTGAGGGACAACAAGGGATGTGTCAGGAGGACAGCCTACATTTCTGAAGCTAGAGGGCTGGACTTACATACTGCTGACTTGGGAAAACAATGCAGCATGGGTCATTGGGGTATTTTCTCCTTCTGATTTATTCAAATTCCCAAAGTATCTGAACAAAAACATGCTTCTTGTCTGACTAATTTTTTTCTCACTGCTTTCTCCCACACTGTACTGCTACCTTCAAACCCATTCTCTTGTATGGAGCAGAAACCAACAAGGCTCTTGCTACATTTATGTATTCACTGACAGATGTGAGATGAATGATGTTCACTAAGATGTCCAGGGTGAGAATGGGTGAATCTCAACAGGTTCAGAGTTTGGATTCTGCAATGACAGATGTCATCTTTCTACCATCAAAGCTATTAGTACATGTAATAGTAGCTTGAAAATTTCTTAAATAATATTTTTCTTTTCTTTTTTTTTTTTTTTCTTTTAATCTCCCCAAAGTGGAAAAAAAGAAAAAAAAGACTTCACCTTTTTGGAAGGTTGGAAAAATCTTAGAAACTATTTCTGTTTTTCTATGTCTCATGTGAAGTTTCACATTTGTCAGTGCCCAGTTCAAAACTGGGAGAAAAAAACATTATCTTTAATGCTGGGTGTAGATTTGGAGGGAAGCTCCAATATAAAAGCCTGGAAATAGCGAGGAGGTAAAAATAAACAAACAAACAAAAAACAACACAGTAGATTCAAAGCAAAAGTATCTCCAAAGATCTATAAAACTGGGGAGGGTTTGAGAGATTAAACTTTGTGTTCTCCCTGCTTTAGTGAGACCACTTTTATATCAAAACTTGATGTTCTCTGTCTTTCCTAATAGCTGTGATATGATAGTGGAGTAAATGTATGGAGAGTGCTGGAGGATGGGGAAGGAGGAATGAGCTCAGTTTTGATGTGCAGCTCTAACAGCTTTGAGATGGAAGGGGCAGATGGGGCATTTCTCTAAGCAAGCTGGGAGATGTGGCAATGAAAGGACAAGAAGATTGAAGGCAACCGAACCATGCAATCCGTTTTTGTCTTCAACCCTGGCCATCCACTTAGTCCTCCAGAGCTGTCTTGAGTTTCCCAACCCTGGATAATGGGTCTCAGCCTCTCTGCCCCATGCACACACCCAATGCAGCCTTGGACAGTGCCTTGCTAGGAACACTCTGCCTTCACTGCGAGCAAAACTAAGAAACAAGACAGATAATTTCACCTTGCCATCACTGCCTACTTTCCAGTAACACTGCAACCATTCAAATATACCATGCTTCTATGGCTTTTGAGATGCAAGATTGCCCCAGCCACACGTGAAGAGCACCAGGAATCACGACATGGGAAGGCAAGAGAATGACAAAGAAACGATGCAAAATTCACGTCAGTGCCATCCACCAATGCAGAAGGAGCAGTGCAGCCCCGTTTTGAAACCCGTGGATGTACACTGTTACTAAAACAGCAGCATAAATTGCTGTGGGAACAGATGAGAAAAGCAACGGGATGTCATACAATGCCTGGCAAAAATGGGTTAAGTAAAAATAGCAAAGCAGGGGTAATAAGCTGGCCAAACATAACACTGCTGTCCAGACAGAGCGACAAAGCTTTGATCTCTCTTCTATGTAACAGCAGAATTTATGATTTAAAGAAAAAGCAATAGGAGAGTCCAACACCACTGCACATTTTATCTTTCTCTATGCACAGATATGAAGTATGAAAAGCATCAAAGGAGGCATGAAAACCATTAAGCCTGGCCCACATCCCGAGTGAAGGAAACAACTGTCCATCCAGCCAAAGCCAGGACCAATACATCTGTACTTAGGGGGAAGGCAACACAGCGATCCAGGTTTCCTGTCATGGATGGGTTCATCTGCAGGGCTAGGATACAAAATCCTCTTTCTTTCTCCTGTCCAATAAATAACAGGCCAAAAAGCAACTCAGACTGAGGCGTGCCACAACAAACAGGTCACAGGCGTTCTCCCCAATACCCTCAGTTGGAGATAAGCACATCATCTCCCCTGCAATTCAAGGTGAAGTCAAAGGGCCTGGCCCTCCTCACATTTGCACCAGCCCAGCACTGCTGACTGCAGAGAAATGCAAGAAAATGTAGCCCACAGATGAGCTTCACACCAACACACAGATCTCAAGCAGGTCTTCAAGTAGACAACAACTCTCCTAGGATTCACAGAGAAGTGAGAGCTATGGAAATACTTCTGGTTGTTCATTTTCATGGAAACAGGATCCTCATATCCCTATCCACAGCAGCTCACCTTGTATCGTTTATTTTCTGGTTTAGCCTCAAATGCAAGTCTCCCACTTTGATCAATGAGACCTCATAGCATTGGAGACCTCTTGGAATACGCTTGATGGAGCTCTACCTACAGTTTGTCGTTCTTGTCTTCTTCACAAGCCAAAATCATGAGGATTGAGGCACTGCATTTGTTTTTGAGGTCAGGAAAGGGAAGAGGGGGGCTAAGAAGAAGAGCAAATGAATCCAGAAGATCCCACTCCCACATAAGTTTCTCTCATGCTTAATTGAAGGAGAGGAAGGGGTAGAAGAATACTGTGAGATATTCAGTGGCTGAACAATGTTTCCTGAGAAAAGTATACATGGATTTTCATGGGATGACCTCTGTAAGACTATGAAGGACTCATTAAACCTTTGGTTGGAGGAATTCCGGCGTCTGTAGCATTTCTGTTGCTGCCGATAATGTGAGCCATTTCCATATTAGCTGGGATCACAAGTTTGTTTTCTCTGGAACTCTTTCATGAATGGAGTAGTTCCAAGATACTAAATGTTGTAGCCTGATAGCTCGGGAGGCAGAGCTCCAAGATTCCCCACCGATTCCCCATAGGAAAAGCCCCAAAGTGGGAAAGTGCTTATCAGGATATTTAAAAATAATAATAATTAAATATATATATATACACACACATATATATATAAAAAAGGAAAATACAAAAAAATCTACTTAAGACCAATGGCAAAATAAAAAAAGGCTATTTTTATGCCTGCTGTACCATCTGAGATGCCCTGTGATTTGAACTGAAGCTTCCTTCCCTGTCCAGAGGTACAGCCAATGCTTTTTTTCCACTCTGCACAGAGGTGCAGCTATTTAAAGCCACTTGGAGGCCC